AGGATGCAGAATGATGATATTACATGGAATATTCTTCGAAAAGGTCAATGCGCATTTAAAGCTTGGTTAGTCGTAAAGAATTATGGTCTCTTTTTTTTCGTCTAACTCTTTTGAAATTTCCTTTTTTTTCCTTCAGGACAAAGCCAACATTGTTCTGTCGAAATGAGATGAATTTGACTGGTTTATGTAATCGTGCATCATGTCCACTGGCAAATTCGCAGTATGCTACTGTTAGGGAAGAAAATGGTAAGCGAATCATGACGATAAACTATTCAGTGAATGCTTCCTTTAGGAGTATGTTATCTATATATGAAAGTCGTTGAAAGGAGTCACTATCCGCGAAGGCTATGGGAAAAGATCAAGCTTTCTAAGGATATGAATAAGGTTTGTGTTAACAGTAAATTTCGAAGTCACCTATTAGTACGAGCGTATCTATTTTGTATTATCAAAATTACTTTTTTCTCTTTTCTATGAAGCGATTTACACTTCTTATTTCTACCTATTTTCTTGATGTGAGGATGTGTCAGAAGTGATTATTTGAGCGGCAATTGGGTTCATTTATATTAAACGTTGATTGTATTATTAAGGCTTTGGAGCAAATCAGCGACAATCTTCTTCACTGGAGTGAATATGTACGGCATAAATGTAAAGCTAGGCTTATTCGTATCCATCAATATCTTATACGAATGAGGAGGATGGCGCTTAAAGGAACGTAAGTGCAAAGAAGTAAAATTCAATGCATCATGCAAAATCAAACGAGTTACACTTTTCTGCCAAAATTCAAAGTGTTATATCAAACTGGTTTAAATTATGCGTGTTAATTGCTTTTCATCATATTCATGCTGCTTTCTATGGTTTGGTGTGTAATGCGCAATTATGTAGGGATCCAGACTGTACAGTTTTCACCCTTATTCCTGATGTCTAGACCATATAGTAGTTTTTTCCTATTACCTTTCACGTATCTTATTGCAGACAGAAAAAGATCATCCCTATTGCTCGCAAAGTTGAGCGCCGTGAGAAACGTCGAGAAGAAAAGGCTTTGATTGCTGCAAAACTTGACAAAGCAATTGAGAATGAGCTGTTGTCACGATTGAGGTGTGTTTTTAGATCCCGAGAAAAATCTGTTTTGTAATATCTTCCTATTATAGGCAGGGCACATACGGAGATATTTATAACTTCCGACAGGAAGCATTTGAACAAATGTTGGATGAGAAT